GCGCACACACAAACACAAACGTAAAGAGACATACACAACATCACAGAGACACACACACACACATAATACACACAAACATACACACACACATATACACACACACACACATACACAAACATACACACACACACACACATACACAAACATACACGCACACACACACAAACATACACACACACACACACACAAACAAACGTAAAGAGACATGCACAACATCACAGAGACACACACACATTGATAGATACACACACACATGTACACACATACACACATAAATATAAACATACATACCGGAATCATGTTTTTCTGAAGTGATTGACTGTTTCCCAATTTCGTAGATTGGTGCTCATGATATCAATCACTTGTTAGGTCCAGCATTGAGTATTTATTCATGTAGTCCTACAACTGGACTATTGTGAAATGCGGCTTCAAACATCAAAACTGACGTTCATACATGAAAAAGACTTGTTTACAGACAAAAGGTCGAATGCTGTTGCTAAAGTATGAATGATACAAATATTGTAGAACTCAAAAGGGGGAAATTATTTTTGTGGTAACAGAATGACGACATGGAACCTTTTCCGTGCATCTGTTTAGTGCCATACTCTATTAGATAGCGTAGTTTTCGCTACGCATACAGTGACTGAGTTCGGACGATTACGTTTGAAACCATATTTTCTTCAAATAACAGTAAATCAACTTATAGGATGACACAAAGCTTATCAGCACTGGACGACACGGATTTCGAAAAGTTATTATGCATTTATATGTTACAGACAGATAAGTATGAATCATTGATGGGTATATTATCTTGCATCTGTCTCTGGCGCTAAACAAAACAGCTAAACGATATATGCCAGTAGTTTGTTTTCGCTTAATAGTACTCATACATCACACCTTTGGAAGGGAATGGTTTATCCCCGACGGAAAAAGCTCATAATTCATAGCCTGTGTTTCCAAGTGATACACAAGACTGATGTAAGTCGGCATAAACAAACAACTGATTAAAATAAAGAGGGAATATATTTATTTTACTATATGTGTAAGTGACATTTTTATAGCAGAGAATAATAGTCACAAACTAAATGTGCTTGACTATTTGGAAACCTTGTATACTCTGCAAAAATAGAAAGAAGTAAAATCGTAAATATCTGACTGTTGAACACATCACATCTATACAAACTTAATACCGCAAATGAATCCTTCATTTCTGTATGGATCGGGAAATGACATAATTTGTGTGGAAAGAATGAGATATAGCAGACATCTGGTGAAAAGATGGACAACACAAACACTTGAGAGCAGACAAAGTCGGGACGACCAAGAGTAACCACCCCCGCCCATGATCGCTACATCCCACTGCGCCACCTACGTGGAGGACGACCAGAGCCACCTCAACCGCTCCCCAAATACCCGGACTGTGCAGAATCTCTGTTTGTACTACAGTCATTATCATTCCATGTAGAGCTTAAGGATGTGGACACAGTCCTCGTCCTCGACTCCAAATGAAAAGCTGGGCTCCCCTCTCTCCCAGTCTGTGTACGTCGGGGCGGAACCGTCAGTCCATCTGTAGACGTTTGACCTGGTCGTGTCCCGCAGTCCAATCCAGGGCTTAACTGAAACACCACCAGGAGGGGCTGACGCGACAGTATGGGAGAGCGTGTTTTCCTGGAGGTTATGACTAGAGGATGGATGTGATTGGCGGAAAGGTGTGACTGACTGGAGGGTATGACTGATTGGAGGATGTGACTAATTGTTTTGTTTGACTGACGGGAGGGTATGACTAAACAGTGGTTGTGATTAACAGCAGGGTAATCTGGCTCTGTGTGTCTGACGCGTCTGTACAATTGACGGCAGAATGTGTTTTCCAGGAGGTTGCGATTGAACTGTTAGTGTGACGGACAGGAGGGGCATGACAGACGAGAGTAATGACTGAGGAGAGGCTGTGACTGATTGGTTGGTGTGACTAAACAATTTTAGATTGTTTGTTGTTTAATGCTGCACTCAGTAATATTCCCGCTATATGACGGCGGTTTGTAAGATATAGAGTCTGGGCCAGACACTCCAGTGATTGACGCCATGAACATCGATCTACGCAATTGGGATATACAGGCATGCAATAGCCAAGTCAACGAGAATGACCACCCGAACCCGTTATTCGCCAAACATAGTCGCCCTTTACGGCAAGCACGGGTTGCTGAAGACCTATTCTACCCCGGATCTTCACAGGTCTTCTAAATAATGAAATAATGAAAATGAGTGAATGCCTGTTACGAGGGGTGACTGTTTTGTTTGTTTGTTCACCGAAAACCATTGGGCTGAACTACGAGTGACAAACAAAGAAAGTTTTTAAATCACATGAAATACGAATTGTTATTGATGAACTTAAAATGCGAAAGCATGTGGCACTTACGAAATCATAGATGAATACATAAAAGAACAGCTCCGTAGTTTTGATGTAACTGAGGGGACAATGGATGAATGACATTGTGTTACTGACGGGAGGATGGGACTGATCTGGTTGGTGTGACTGAAGGGTGTCTGTGACTGAGGGGACAGTGTGATGAATGACATTGTGTTACTGACGGGAGGATGGGAATGATCTGGTTGGTGTGACTGAAGGGTGTCTGTGACTGAGGGGACAGTGTGATGAATGACATTGTGTTACTGACGGGAGGATGGGACTGATCTGGTTAGTGTGACTGAAGGGTGTCTGTGACTGAGGGGACAGTGTGATGAATGACATTGTGTTACTGACGGGAGGATGGGAATGATCTGGTTGGTGTGACTGAAGGGTGTCTGTGACTGAGGGGACAGTGTGATGAATGACATTGTGTGACTGGCGGGAGAATGGTAATGATCTGGTTAGTGTGACTGAAGGGTGTCTGTGACTGAGGGGACAGTGTGATGAATGACATTGTGTTACTGACGGGAGGATGGGACTGATCTGGTTGGTGTGACTGAAGGGTGTCTGTGATTGAGGGGACAGTGTGATGAATGACATTGTGTTACTGACGGGAGGATGGGACTGATCTGGTTGGTGTGACTGAAGGGTGTCTGTGACTGAGGGGGCAGTCTGATGAATGACATTGTGTTACTGACGGGAGGATGGGACTGATCTGGTTGGTGTGACTGAAGGGTGTCTGTGATTGAGGGGACAGTGTGATGAATGACATTGTGTTACTGACGGGAGGATGGGACTGATCTGGTTGGTGTGACTGAAGGGTGTCTGTGATTGAGGGGACAGTGTGATGAATGACATTGTGTTACTGACGGGAGGATGGGACTGATCTGGTTGGTGTGACTGAAGGGTGTCTGTGACTGAGGGGGCAGTGTGATGAATGACATTGTGTTACTGACGGGAGGATGGGAATGATCTGGTTGGTGTGACTGAAGGGTCTCTGTGACTGAGGGGACAGTGTGATCAACGGGAGGATGGGACTGATATCGTTGGTGTGACTAAAGGGACAGTGTGATTAACTGGTTAGTGTGACTGCCTGGACTTTTTGACTGATTGGTTGGAGTGACTGACACGACACTGTTAATGACGGGAGCGTGTGACTGAAGCGGAAGTGATTGGCGGGAGGGTGTGATCAACGGGATAGTGTGACTGGCGGGAGCATGTGACAGAAGGTGTGTGTGACTGACGTTCGAGGCAGTGGAATGTTTCTGAACTAAAAAGCGCCATGAGACACATGGACATTGCGAGTTTTTAGTCTCACATATGTTTATTACAGAAATCTGTGGAAACCAGAAGCTATCCTCGCAGTGTCACTTACTGTTGTTCTTGTAGTCCATGTAGTGGAACAAGCCTCTGACGATGTCCTGTTTCTCCGCGGTGTCTATCTTGACCAGTGTGGCGCCGTCAGACCTGCACATCTCTAAGGCTCCGCCCCATGTACGTCCCACATTGTATCTCTTCAGATGGATCTCGCCCACCTCAACTGGGAAAGTCATGTATCCCCTTTCTTCAACTGAATGATGAACATGAAGCTCAATCACATAGCGGAACAGTTATTGGCCAGCTGACCACAATTTAAGGCCCGTTGGCCATATTTCAACACATCACTCACCTTTGATCCAGCCCCTGCTCGTATTTAAGTGGACTCTCTAAATCAACCCTCACCTTCGATGCTCTATCTGCTTGAATCCCAAGGACTCTCCAACACAACCCTCACCTTTCATTCTGTCCCTTAGTGGATCCCAGGGACAACAAAGGAATGTTAATCTGCATGTCTACGACTTATTGGTCGTTTTAGATGTTTCAGAAGTATTATGCAACTCCACGTTGGGCGGTTCAGTTCTTGTCAAATCGTACCTTATTTTACTTTACATGTATTATATCTGAGGTAAGACTGGAATAAATTAATTATCTGTCTGTCTGTCCACAATCTGACTCCACACGACTTTCAGAATGTGATGACGTTTACAGAAGACATGTGTTGACACTGCCATGATGAATTCATGGTTCTTGGATGTTTCAATATTTTGCTTGGTACTGGTACAGACGACTGAAGGTTTTGCGGAGCTATCCCATCTGTTCAGTTTTTTAAGTGATGTGGCCTTTCAAGGTAGACTGTCTAACCACTCTACAACGGAGGCGGTCGAACCTCGTGAGAACTGAGATGGAATACAGTGAAAAGTTCTGATAGCCCGGCAACCATGGCCTACTGAGGATTAACGTTATTACAACTGCCAAACAGTTTCAACAAGCGTATCTCACGCCAAATTACACGTGTAAAACATATACGGCTATATAGAACTTATCACGCGAGTGTGTTTGGGGATGGTAAATATCCTTCATTAGGAATAAACATTGTGTCAACACGCATGTTGACGGGGAAATAGCTCTCGGGGGAATAAAGGACAAAATCGACATCACCGTCCCGGAACGCTTCATGCACAACATGTAAACAATAAACAACTATTGCACAATGAGTGGAATACCTGCTCTGACAACACAAACACAGCGATGAGCGGACCTTCCAGCTCAGGCAAACATGAGGTGAGCGGAGCTCAAGCTCACTTCAGGACGTTTCCTACGAGCGGCACATCCTGCTCGAGGTCGTCCCTCAGCACTCGGAATACCAAGCCTGCCTCACACCCTAGTAACAGTGTAATGGTAGCACAATTATAGTAATGAACAACAATGGAAAGACAATGACGTTGCTCTGGACATGGGACTTCGGGATGGGGTGGTTGGGTGGGTGTGGGGTGAGCAATTAAGGCAATAAATGTCATACTATAAATAATAGTAATTAACGGGAAGTGATAAAGTAGCCCAGGTTGGCTGTCAGTCAATATACAATGAAATGTTGGTGAGGATTAACAACGGGGATGAGCGCCTAAAACTTAATGACAATTAAGTTATGGAGACATGGCTCCAGGGTAATTTGCCTTTGGAGTCAAATGTACTTCAGAAAATGGTAGTCGTAAATCAGTCGCTATGACGATTGCATTTTGCGAGCCTTGGCGAGCTAAATACATAGTGTATATTCCTGATACAGGATATTTACCATCACAAAACACACAAACGTGATAACCTCTTCATCATATAATGCCATTCTTTAGTCATGGGCTTGAAAATCGCTTTCCCTCTCTCACAAACATTGCCTAAACATTGCGAGTTTTCCTGGAATGTGATCATTAATATTTTTTACATCACAGGGTGTGATGTGTCAGTCGGACAGTGACAGTACCCAATGATGTTCCAACTGAAATCTGTTTCTCATACACTGGCGAAGCAGCTTATATGCAAAACAATTTTTGTTTTACTTGCATTTCGCGGCAATCCATCCGTCTGTCGGCTAGAGTTTGTCAAAGGGAAGCTACTCTAACCCTAGTCTATGAGACGTCACGGCCACGTTCAGACGCTGTTGACAGTCGGCCTGTCCTGTCATAACGTTAACAAGTGCAATCATATGTTCACACAGCGACAAAACGAAACAAGGTAACAATTCAAACATAATTCGGCTAAATCCAGCTATTTTTATTTGTGGACTAGGTTTCAAGCCGCATAGGTCTACAAGCACATACATTGCTACTAATCCCGCTTGGCTAGGCCTAGTGCCCTTCAAAATTGTTTCAAAATAAATAAAACTTATAAAATGCCTTAGCTACGTCACAGATAGACACTGATTTTAAGTAACTTCGTGCATATTGTGTGAAATGGGGACACATTTTCCTATTCAGAAGTTAAATGAATGGAAGTTTGCCTGCACATTAAATCGATACTTGTCAAGACTGAGTACGAACAGTGATGCCGTCAATATTTGTTTACAGGCTTGTGGCCCTTGATCAATTCTTTTCATTTTAGTGCATCTAGTGGGCAATGGGGAAAGTATTCTCAAACTACTGAAATTACGTGAATGAAACTTGACAAGCTTATCAAAGAGATACTCATCAAGACTGAGTTCGAAATATCAGATTTCTCAAGACATAAAGCCACACACATCTGTTCTTAAGGATGTATAGGACTCTCTTTTGGAGTTAACATTAACTGCCATGATATTCTCTTCTCTATGAACAAACAAAATTCTAATGTGCCCCAAGGCGGGGCACAGTGATAAGGCTGTTTTCTTGTTGGTTCTTTCTTCATTGTCCCTAATGTGTGTCGTTCAGTAAATGTCATAATATAGAGTTTCCTTCTTGGATAATTGAGTTTTATCTTTAAAAAAGGGAAAAAACTATACAGTCTCAAAATGTCTTTTTTTAATGTTTTATATCACATTTGTTAAGTTTTATGGTCGAAGAAACCAAGTAATCTGACATTGACATCCTATTAGCTGAGTTGTTGCACAATTATTGTCCCTACTGGTTTACATGTCACCCATCAATCATGCTGAATATCGTGTACAGCACTTTAAGTAAATTATTTAGGCTGTATCTCATAAGAATGCTTTAAAACCATCGTCAAACAAAATTGAGATCTGTAATCCAGCCCCAGTCAGTAATATGATCTCACCTTCAACACAGTCATCCTACATTGGAAGTCAACTTATATTTTTTATCTCCATCCATAATAAATAACGCCAGCGCTTGCCTCCATCACGCGACGTAATGGATCCCATTGGGCAAGAGTGAGTGAGTGAGTTGGTTTTAACGCCGCTTTTAACATTATTCCAGTTATATCACGGCGTGTCAGCTTGATGTGGGAGGAAGGCCCGAAGTGATGTAGGTCTGAGACGTTTACTACTTCGGTGAAACCCACGAGCAAGGGTATGGTGCTGACAAACCTAGAAACGTACTCGGGGCGAACCAGGATTCGAACTCACAATCATAGGTTTCTGGCGTGCCCAAGGGACGCAGCTCTGCACAGCGAATCGCGGCGCCTTAGACGACTGGGCTACCCGTGCCCCCCATTGGGCAAGAAAGGCATACAGTGGGAAAACTATATGAACGGACCACTGAAAACCAGTGATGCCAGCGAAAAGGGCAAGCATGTTCTGTCCTGCTGATAGCACCTGCGACTCACACAAGTTGCATGAAAAGTGTATGGTTTTACAACAGTACTCCTACCATTCACACAAACCAGACAGTCTGAAATCCAATCCCACGGAACTAAAACCGTTATGTTAATTTTGAATTACGCCTGCTGTGTACAAGTGCAGAGATGCTTCTGCTTGTGATGACAAAATGTTGAAGAAATATGTTCGTTTTGCAAACCGACTGACCTAACGACCGACTCACTCTTTGGTTCTGTGTCCTGGGTCCAAACAGGAAAGGATAGATGAAACTCGTCAAACTATTTACTATTTATTTAATGTGATTTTATTCAATAGATTTAAAATGTATTTACATACACGTAGATCCAGATACTGAATAGTTTCTCAGTGGTTTCTTTGATTCCCAAGCTGGTAGATAGATGAGTTGAAGATATTTATTTATCTAGACATGTTTAAAAGAAATGAGGTCATTATACATCTGCAACTTATGTTGAACGTTTTCAAAATATGTCCTCTCTCAGATTTAACTAAGGTAGTCCAAAACTTCCAATACATGTTCAAAGAGAAACAGATCAAAGAGTGAGTGAGTATGGTTTTATGCCACTTTTAGCAATATTCCAGCAATATCAAGGCGGGCTGACACCAAAATTGGGCTTCACACATTGTACCTATCTGGGAATCGAACCCGGGTCTTCGGCTAGCCGATCAAATGCTTAACCCACTAGGCTAGGAGAGGGACACAATCAATAGCCACGGGAATACCTACTACTTATCTCAATGTTTCATCCCCTAATTTAACAAGATACTGTGAGTCCTGAAATCTAAAATCCAAACACTGGATGTAAATTCAAGTTAGTCAGTTCAGAGCAACGGAATCATTGAAACTGGAACAGCACACTGGGAAGGGGTATGTCAGTTAAATCTGCGCAGGAACGCAATCTGGAGCTTCTGGAAACAAACTAACAACACTAGAGATCGGCCTATAAACAGAAGAGCAGGAGGAGCCATCATCAGACATTATCTCTTCATTTTTTCTGTTAACCCATCTTCCCGAGTTAACTGACTATAAAAGTCCAGTTTCCCGAGGCAAAGGAGATTACTGACTCTTGCCGAACTAGGCTGGAATTCCCGGGCTCGACCGTAGCGCCACTAGTGGTTATTATGAGTTATGTCCCTTCTAAGCCTGTCCTATGGACCAATCAGATTCCACCTCTCGTATCACTTGCAAAAACATGAAAATACTTGGAAAATATGTGTTGACAACGAGTTGGCGGTGCACATGCTTTGCAAATCCTGCAATCGACAGAAATCTGCAGTACATTTTACAAACCGGATTTCGATTTCGGTGCGCGATTTTGATTGGACTATGCATAGACTCGTTAGCCCAGCCAAAATGTAACTCCATAATACCAGCCTAGTTCGGCAAGGGTGGAAACTGGACTTTTATAGTCAGTTAACTCACTTGCCCTGGGAAGATGCTGTTAACCCGAATCGAATAAAGTTTTCATTATAGAGATAAGTTAGTGTCTTGCATTATGTGACAAAGCGCGGCCCAAAAACTGTTGTTGTTAGTATAGTTTCATATTGATTTCACTAAAAGACCATAAATAAAACATAATCTTGAAGGAATTAAAGCTGACTTGGAGAGAAAGTAAACTGCAGAAATACATCATCTTACTGTTGACACACTATTGAATAATAGAACATTTAATAAAGAACTTGCCTAAGTGACTAAGAATTAATCTCCGAATAAAAGATGACGAGTACCTTTTAGCACAGAATGCAGATGAAACAGCACTCTGACAATAGGTCCCTCTCAGCACTCTGACAATATGGCCCACAGAGCACCCTGACAACATGGCCCACACAGAACACTGATAAAATGGCCCACACAGCTCCCTGACAATATGTCCCACAGAGCACCCTGACAACATGGCCTACACAGAACACTGATAGCATGGCCCTCACAGCACCCTGACAACATGACCCACACAGCACACTGATAATATCCCCTCTCAGAGCACACTTACAGCAGTCCCTCTTAGCACCCTGACAACGCTCCCTCTCAGCAACCTGACAACAGTCCTAGACAGCACACGAATAACAGCCCCTCTCAGAGCACACTAACAGCAGTCCCTCTCAGCAACCAGGCAACACTCTCTCTCAGCAACCTGGCAACAGCCCCAGACAGCACACGAATAACAGCCCCTCCCAGAGCACCCTGACAATAGGTCCCTCTCAGAACACACTGACAGAAGTCCCTCTCAGCAACCTGACAACAGCCCTACACAGCTGCCTTACAACGGCCTCACACAGCACACTAATAACAGCCCCTCTCAGAGCTCACTGACAACAGTCCTTCTCAGCTGCCTGACGACAGCCACTCACAGCACCCTGGCAACAGCCTCTCTCGACACGCCAGCAGCAGCCCATGACAGCACCCTGACAACAGTGACAGCAGCCTGACAACAGCCTATGACAGCATCCCGACAACTGACCCTCACAGCGCCCTGACAACAGACTCTCACAGCATACTTACAACAGCCCATGACAGTAACCTGACAACAGACCGTGACAGTACCCTGGCAACAGCCCGTGACAGTACCCTGACAACAGCCTATGACAGCATCCCGACAACAGACCGTGACATTACCCTGACAACAGCCTATGACAACATCCCGACAACAGACTCTCAGAACACACTGACAACAGCCAATGACAGTACCCTGACAACAGCCCATGACAGTACCCTGACAACAGCCTATGACAGCATCCCGACAACAGACCGTGACAGCACCCTGACAACAGCCTATGAAAACATCCCGACAACAGACTCTCAGAACACACTGACAACAGCCCCTTACAGTACCCTGACAAAAGCCCATGACAGCATCCCGACAACAGACCGTGACAGTACCCTGACAACAGCCTATGACAACATCCCGACAACAGACTCTCAGAACACACTGACAACAGCCCATTACAGTACCCTGACAACAGCCTATGACAGCATCCCGACAACAGACCGTGACAGTACCCTGACAACAGCCTATGACAGTACCCTGACAAAATCCTATGACAGCATCCCGACAACAGACTCTCAGAACACACTGACAACAGCCAATGACAGTATCCTGACAACAGCCTATGACAGCATCCCGACAACAGACTCTCAGAACACACTGACAACAGCCCATTACAGTACCCTGACAACAGCCCATGACAGCATCCCGACAACAGACTGTGACAGTACCCTTACAACAGCCTTTGACAGTACCCTAACAACTGCCTATGACAGCATCCCGACAACAGACCGTGACAGCATCCTGACAACTGCCTATGACAACATCCCGACAACAGACTCTCAGAACACACTGACAACAGCCCATGAGAGTACCCTGACAACAGCCCATGACAGCATCCCAACAACATACTCTCACAGCTCCCTGACAACAACCTCTCACAGCATCATGACAACATCCCATGACAGCACCCTGACAACAGACTCTCACTGCACTAAAACAACGGCCTTTCTCGTTATGGTAGCAGTAGCCTATGACATCACCCTGACAACATACTCTCACGAACCCTGACAACAGAATCTCACAGCACCCTGAGAGAGACTGTGATAGCACCCTGACAGCACTGCTTACCTTTCTCCGAGTTCGGGAACCGGGCTGCCATAGCTATTATTATGTTGAAACACAGCAGGGTATTCGTGATCATTGCTCGAGCAAAAACCCACAACAACTGGCCGACAGTCGTGGAACCACCACGTTATGGGCGCTAATCAATACTTGTTAGGATCCCTACAACAATTTTCTTAAAGCTTCTGAGTAGGCCTTTCAAACTACCAATAGTAAACCCAAAAGATTACATAATTTGCATTAGAAATATACACCTGGAAATTCATATCTCATGGATGAGTCACTTTTCTCTGCGGCCTCGTGTAAAATCGATAGAACAGTATCCGATGTTGTTTTCTGATTTCAAGAGGCAGCAATAATAAAGAAACCAAGGGTTTAAATCTGAAATATTTATAATAATAACAATGTTTGCATTATGAAGAAAGCTGTGACATATGTACTCAACACAAAGTGGAAATTGCTATCGTTGCAAAATAAATACTAAACTGCTTCAAACCACTCTGTATTGTCGGAATCCTAAACCAATGTCAGAAGATGCAAGGTTGGGACCTTGACGGGCTTTCCGTATCACATTCGCTGGAATACAAGATCATCACAATATCTTTTTGAAAAAATAACAAAATGAGAACTGTTACTATTGCAAAGAAACTTAATGGATGTTGATGAGAAATAAATATCCCATCTGATGTTCCTCCTTACAAAATGTGACTGGTCACATATAACTCCTGGAACACCATAGTGTTAATGTTTCTAAATGGACACAGCTTAATCGTTTCCGTGAAGCTGGTATTCGATCACGCAGGGCTTGCATTTGAATCTCTGTACAATCAACCCAAAGGTTGATCGGCTTACTGACGTTCCTGATCCCAAACAATGCTTTCCTGATGAACTAATGAAAACAATTGAAAAATGTGTTCCAAAGTCCTCTGCAATGCCACACATACCTAAACTGTGATTTAGCGATGCTTGCCAATAACCTGGGAAGGTTAGGGAAAAGGCAGAATGTTATTTCCGTCGCCAATTTGAATACATTTTTAATTTTAAACGCACATCTTGACGAAATAATGTGTCAAAAATGATTTCACAAAGTCTAATGTCCATGGTATGGGACATGGTCCAAAAAGGGAACTTAGTCTAGTATTCACCATCTTAATACTTGGGACCAACTACTAACTAATAAATCAGATGCTGCTTATAAACTTGGTGAAACTTTGAGTGAGCACTCTTCCTATTCTATCTATGTACCTGTTGTCATCAGCATCAATTTGATACAATATTTTTCTGATCATTCGACACTCAGCTAATAGCTGTTTGACAACCATTATCAAACTTGACAGGGGAAGAGGAGATTGCATCAGAAAAGGTCAGTGAAGAAGTGGAAGTGGTTGATACTAGTTTCTTGGCGTCTGAAAAGGAGATATCATCTGCACACTTTATTTTCAGAATCTGGGTCTGTGTTGACATGTGATCACCATTGCAGTGTGCACATTTGATGGTATCCATACAGTCTGTGCTATCATGGGCCTTACTGCAACGAGAGCAAACTAGGGTATGGCGACAGGCTTTTGCTTAGTTGGGGGTAAATGTAATTTGATACATATTTGTTATTAAGATGCTGCCACGATCTTTTCTGTTGAAGTAGTTGTTTTACCTAAGATGCACCTTGATACACCAATCTCTGCTCTGTATTCTCAACATGATCGGCTTACGTTGATTCGAAGATTGCTGTCTCTTTGCACACTCCATAAGCAGTGAACCAGACCAGAGAGTAGTAACATTTGTCATCGTACAACACATACCTACATTTGAATTTGAAACTACAAAAGGATTGAGTTTGAGGGGCTCACCAACAACCCCTTGAACAACCAGAAATCGTGGACAAGAATCAACATTTTGAAGAAGATATTGCAGTATCTGTTTCAATGTGCCTTCATTTATTTGTTTGTCGGGAACCAGTGAATTATGGGGTAGCTATAATGCAGAAAGGAAATTCGACACCACTACTCCCCATCCACCATGTTTGCTACTACTACTACTAGTAGTAGTAGTAGTAGTAGCAGCAGTAGTAGTAGAAGTAGTAGTAGTTGTGATTGTCAAACTTCAACATGTTGGTTTTTGGCGACTGATGTGGAAAAACCCTAAGTTCCTTACGTGTATTCAGCAGCTACAATTTATAAAACCTTTTCTCTTTTTGTTAAATATTTTATCTTTCAATTCATTAGACATATATCTGTAACACAGGTACATGAGGTATATAAGTGTGGCAATTCAAAGGTTCATGAAACATGACCAAGATATGGGCACTATACATATTTTAATACCACTATTCTTCATTGCAATAATTTGTTTTCATATATTTTTCAATATTTTTTGTTGAAGAAAGGAAAGTATATGGGGTTTTCTTAATACTTGACTGGTGAATGTATCGTTTTGCAAGAAGAAGTATAGGGTTGAAATGAGAATGTTTTTAGCTGTAGCAAAGTAAGTTATCTATACTGGTGAAATGAAAATCATATGCAAGTTTCGTGTTCAGGTACCACCATTCCAAAAACACATTCTACATATACATGGTATACGTTTTGAGATTCAGAGCATATACTATCATCAATTTTTTTTTTCAATCATTACTTTTAGGTATAAAGAGCTATATTTATGAATATGTAGTGGAAATGAATTAGTTTTACATCATTGGTACACATTTTACAATTAGTAAAAACATTATCCCACAAAATGCTTTGATTAAGATTTTCGCACACATCAGTGAAAAGTTAGTGGAAGCTATGAGTTTATCACAAAATAATCTGGAACACTTTGTTCTTATCAACAAGTCTCTCAACATGTCTCTTTAAACTAGCTGTGATTCAAAATCTGCCATTCATTTTTTTGTCCATGATTTAGGGATACTTATTATCAAGTAAAGTACCTTTTGATTTGAAATTTGTCTTGCAATTCTTCAAATGTTAAAGATCTGTTGTTGCTACATAGATCTTTTAAACAATCAATATCCTTATCAAACCAATGTTTTAAGATGAAATTATATTTAGATCAGTGATCGAACAATATTGGTTCTGATAAAAATATCCTCAACAGTTTGTTTGTTAACTTTATGTTTTCTGTAATAATTACACCAACTATTAAATATATCCATCCAGAAGGGATTTGTAAAAGTAAGAAACTGAACAATATTTGCACCCAACAAGGAAAATATGTTTTGACTGAAAATTCTTCAAAGTTGACAAGGTCGTTTTTGTAAACTTCTCCTTAAAAATGAATATATAAATCAACGAATTAATAAGTTTGCAGGTTTCAATCATTCTCAGACCAGCTTCTTTATTTTTCCTATTCAAAGCGGATTGCTTTGGTTTGATATATTATTCCATATGAATATATTGAAATAGTTTATTAAATTTTCCAATAAAACATCGGGTGGGTTTGCAAGTGCTGATGTTGATTGAGCCAGAGTCTTAGTAAATGCGATTTTACCTTTTAATGTCAATGTGTTTTTTCTTGCTCCCCAATAATCTATTAATATGTTCGAATTTTTTTCTTGTATTTATTACCCGTAGATCTTGTAATGTGGGACTAAATATTATTCCAAAACTTCAAAGTTTGCCTCATGCCAGTATATTGTTGTGTCCTAACAGAGGTTGGTGCAGCTTCCTGCCATTGAACCTACCCATATAGCTTTAGTGATGTCTATATCTTCCTCAAGGCCAGCGTGTCTGTAAAATATATTCAAAATATCTATGCAGCTCTAAGACACTCTTCAGAGCCATCTTAACATAACTGTGTATCATCTATATATTGACCTAATTTATACTCCACATCGTTTATTGTTATTCCTTTTAAGCCTTTCTTATTCCAAATCATTATTAAGATATTAACCCATTTCATGATATTTGGTCTGAAACCAAATTATTTCATAACCAAGTCAATAGATAAATCGTTTGGAAACTGTGTCAAAACCCTTTTCAAAAACAATAAGTAATAAAAGTCCTGCCCTATTGTTCTCTTTCAGCTACACACATGATATCATACATGCTTCTATCATTTCCACTCATCCATCCATGGACAAGATATAAAGCCGGTTTGGTTACTATGAATTAATGTATCGAACATTTCCTTAATTCTGGTTTCTATACAAGAGCTTAAAATTGTTAAATTGGTCGCCTGTTTTTTTCAGAAACCTCCTGTCTTTGTTTCGTTTCAGAATACATGTCATTATTCCTCTGACTATAGTTGAGATTATCTGATTAATCTAATTTTTGTATATTTACCTAAAAACCCATAAACCTAAGTCATTCCAAAAGAATGAAAAACAATCGTCTGGGGACACATCCAGGCAAGGGCTTTTGTGAGTTCAAACATTTCAACAGGTTTTTCAATGCTATCCGCAAGTGATTATAGACACCATCTAATACTTGTCTGATTTCAAAAGAGTTGTCCATATTAGAACTTCTAGATGAATACAGGATTGTGTAAAGTTCTTTCTGTTCAGACAGTATTTTGTATCCTTCAATGACACCTTCACCATTGGCATATGTTAAATTACCAGACCCGTGAAGAATACAGACCAGTTACGATAGATCTTCAGCAACCAATGTGTATGGTAAGAGGCGACTAACGGGAACGGGTGGTTAAGCTCGCTGACTTGGCTGATATCATGTCATCGCATCCCAATTAAGAAGATCGATCCTCATGATGTCACTGGACTTTTTGTTTCAGAATTGATTATTCACAGACTGCCTTTCTTTATGTGGAGACCCGTGAAGATTCCGGGGAAGAATAGGTCTTCAGCAACCGACGCTTCCTGTAAAAGGTGACTATGCTTGTCGGGATAGGGTGGTCAGGCTCGCTGACTTGGTTGATGCATGTCATCAATCCCAATTGCGTGGATCGATGCTCATGATATTAATCACTGGATTGTCTGGTCCAGACTCGATTATTTACAGATCGTCGTCATATAGCTGGGATATTGCTGAGTGCGTCGTTAAACAACAAACCAACCAACCTATAGCTGGAATATTACTCAGTGCGGTGTTAAACAGAAAACAAATACAAGTCACCTCGTTGTAATGAAGGCCGGGAGTCAAATACTACCACGCCTTACGTAGCAATAGCCATGACACCACAGTGTAATTTTATTTCCAATAAAGAACGGCTGAAACGATGAAATATACATGTAAACACCTGTGCACAGTGAATCTCACAGGCAATATAGTGTGTAAAGAATATCCTGTCCCCATTTTTTCAGAATTTGCAAAACCAATTTGAGCTGTTTATGTTTTGATAATGTTATCTGGCATTAAGGCATAAGAAAATAACGAAACAACTTTATTTACACCGCCTCTCTGTGTTAATTTTGTATTTACCACATTTTGTCCTCACCTTGTTAATGCCGGGGAAGATTTATATCTACGATTATAATCTGTCCCATGCATCTGTTACTTCTACGAGAAGGTGCCAAAGTTCACCGAAAATCATTTTAGCTTCATTAGAGGATAAAAAAACTAGTCACGGCTGCTGTCAGTGGTCAGTTGTAATCACAAAGGCATCCGGTCATTAGAAAAACAAGCCAAGTGCATAGGTCAGTGTCAAATACAAAATACAAAGGTGATTAGCTGCTGTCAGTGATAATAATATATATTCACCCAGCAGTGACAGTGGTCAAGCTTCCGAGATGGGCTACGGAAGGAATTTAGGGACGATGAGCGATCCTCACAATGAAAGCTTGTCTTGACTTCATGAAGATAGGTGTGAGACAGAATGTGTGAGAGATTAGGCACACGCGCTCTTGACCCACTTGTCCAATGCTGTAAGACCCTATACAATGCGAGACCAGTCTCGCTGTTTGTGGAAGTTTACACCCCACTGTAGCATCTAAATACTAGTAAAGCAACCTCCTGACTGCTTAGATTAAATTGCACAACATTCCCGACGACGAGCCACTGTCCAAATACAATGCAATGAGTTTCTACCGAATCTCAACAAAATCAATGTAACTCAGTTACAATCTTTGATAACCAATAAAATACTTTGAAACATAAACACGCTAAAATTTTGAAGTTTCCAAAATACTTTTCAAACAAGCAATCAGTTCTACATCGCATACATTCAAGTTCACACACATTCAACTTAACGTGTCTCCTGGTGGTAACGAAGGCAGGGAATCACAGTACACAGGATGTTATAAGTCCTTTTACGCGGGCTTCAGTGACTTTGCCCAAGCACGCGAAAAGCAGTGTTCTATACCAGGAATTGAAAATCCACAATAGGCCACCCTGATTGATTAAGTATTAACACAAACTGAATGACGAACATTTTCCAATAAACTCAAACAAATGTATAATCTGATCTAACGACTTTGTGTAAAACAAAAGTGGCATAATACTTTAATTTAAAGGTGATATTTAGTAAGCATTAAGTTTGACATTGCTAACTAAAACAACCCGATAGTATACAAGTAGTTCTGTCTTAATGTACTGACACAATATATACTCTTAAAAAAAAGAAACTTGACACCGACTTTCAAAATGTAATATAATGCGATTGTTTCAAAATAGGACAAAGAAACCATAATTGAAACACTGTTTGAAGATCAATGTACAAAGTTCAAAACATTAATCGTGTCACCTAGACAGACACACGTACACGATACAGTTAATGTCACAGGGGTACAGAAAATGTCAGTATCGGTTGTGCCCACCACGTCCATCAATCACCGCTTGACATCGACGACCCATAGATGCAATCAAGTTGTCAATAAAACTCTGTTGCAAGTGCTGCCATTCATGCTGAAGTGCATCAAGAAGCACCGGAAGGGTTCGGGGCAGTGGATTCCTTCTGCGAACGCGTCGATCCAACTCGTCCCACAAATGCTCAATCGGGGACAAGTCTGGTGACCGGGCTGGCCAAGGTAATGGCTGGATGTTGTTGTGCTGTAAGAAGTCCTGACAAACACGAGCAATATGCGGTCGAGCGTTGTCCTGCTGGAACTGTCCGCCATGAACGTTGACGTGAGGAAGAACGTAAGGCTGTAGGATCAAGTCTCTGTAACGCACACCTGTTAATGCAACTGCCACATGCACGAGAGGCGTCCTACCTCCGTGATGAATTCCGGCCCATACCATGACACTCCCGCCGCCAAATGGGACAACCTGCTGCACACAGTTGGGGGCGTTACGTTCACCCCGACGACTGTAGACACGTGCGTGCCGATCAGCACGTGTGAGTAGGAAACGGGACTCGTCAGTAAACAGTACATTTCCCCACCTTGCACGTGCCCACCTAACCCTCTGTTGGCACCAAAGCAGACGGTCCGCCAAATGACGTGAGGTCCATACATGACGTCGAACAGGTCTTCGTGCAAAAAGTCCAGCCTCCCTCAATCTGTTGCGTACCGTTTGATCTGATATTCTGCGTACCCCAGGGATCTGTGTGGTTGTAGACGTGGCTGTGGTAGTGTGGTCTCGGAGGTGTCGCAGCCGGATGTATCGATCATGTGCTTGGGTTGTCATCCTTGGTCTTCCTGACCTTGGTCTGTCGTCAACTCTGTTAGTGTTGTTGTATCGGGTCCACAGTGCGGAGATTGTCTGTCTGGATACGCCAAAGTGCCTGGCCACTTCTTCATGAGTTGCTCCAGCTTGTAATCCCCCAATGGCGTTGTTCCCTTGAGCTGCATTCAGTCTTGGCATTCTGTCGCCGCCTCTACTGCCGTTATAAGGACTGTATGAACAGCCGTTGATGTTGATGTCTATACCCATTCAGCAGGGGGGCCTGCATGCCTAAATGCAGGATCCTGTGCTGCACGTTTTTTACAGGCGGTTGCGTTTTGATGAAGCTGGAAAATTGATCCCCAAACAATACGTTTATGTGCTTTGCATGTGTTTTCGCGAATTATAGACACATCATCTTTCTGTTTGAGTTATTTGGTTCTCATTTAATGTAATTTGTTTAGATATTTGGCAAAAAATGGTTTTACATCTATGCCAAGTTGTTGGTTTTGTTTAAGAGTATATATCGCGCTTGTTTCATATTAATATAGTTAATCTGTGGTTGGGCTGATATGTTTCTGGGTATGTTATGGATCGACATGACATCTCCTTCACACAACAAGGCATGTGTCTTTTCTTGTCCCATCTCCACGGTATATCACGGTTACACTGGTTGATGAGGCTTGGTACTTAGTGACAGAGAGTTAAATGTAAGAGGGATAAATGTGTATGTGAAAAGTTGCTTATGTCTAAGATCTGCATCACTTCTCACGCCATGCCATAACTAAAATGCGTGTCTGTCTGTTGACATTCCATCCTGATGAACGATGATTGGATAGGCAGGTTCTGCAGGCATTATTTGGTGAACATGTTCAAATCACATTTCACACACAAACCAGCGTAACGTATTACAGTCACTATCGTTCCATACAGACCCAAACATCCGTAAAAGGATCTGGACACAGTCCTCGTCCTGGCCTTCAAATGTAAAGGCGGGCTCCCCTTTGTTCCAGTTCGTGTACGTCGGGACGGAACCGTCAGTCCATCTGTAAACGTTTGACCTGGTCGTGTCCCGCAGTCCAATCCAGGGCCGCTGTGAAACACCCACTGGAGGGAATGAGGGGCAGGTGTGACTGACGGGAGAGTGAGACGGAGGGTTGTGTGAGTGGCGGAATGATGTGAAGACGCGACAGTATCGAGATTTTGTTTTTCTGGAGGATGGATGTGACTGACAGAAGTGTGTGACTGATTTGTTGGTGTGATTGACGGGAGGGCGTGATTAAACTTAAGGTTTTGTGTAAATCACGAGAGGTTGTGACTGACAAAAGAGTGTGATTGACCGGAATGTCTGACTTATTGGTTGGTATGACTGACGCGACTGTATGACTGACGGGAGAATATGTTTTACAGAAGGTGGTGATTGAACTGTTTGTAACTTCTGTTACTGTGAAACTGATGGGAGGGGGCAGACGAGGGTAATGACGGACAAGAGGCTGTGATTGATTGGTTTGTGTGACTGACACATCTTTTGTTCCAACTATATTCCAGCTATATGACGGCGATCTGTAAATAATCGAATCTTGTCCCCTGACACTCTAGTGATTGACATCATGAGCATCGATCTACGCAATTGGGATACGATGACATGAATCAACCAAATCTGCGAGCCGTACCACCCGATCACGTTTCTCGACTCTTAGGACAAGCATAGTCGCCTTTTATGGCAATAATTGGTTGCTTAGACTTGGATATTGTCGGATTTTAGTCTCACACATGTTGAAACCAGAAACCTGTAGAATTCAGAAGCTGTGCTGTCAGTGTCACTTACTTGTCTTTTCATAGTTGAAATTGAACAAGCCTCTGACGATGTCCTCTTTCTCCGCGGTGTCTATCTTGACCAGTGTGGCGCCGTCAGACCTGCACATCTCTAAGGCTCCGTCCCATGTACGTCCCACATTGTATCTCTTCAGATGGATCTCGCCCCCCTCAACTGGGAAAGTCGTGTATCCCTTTTCTTCAGCTGAATGTTGAAGATGGAACTCACTCACATAACGAAACAGTAATAGGCCAACTGACTGCAAATATATACTCAACAACAAAAGTTCCCGTGACACCAATATTTTAGTGCATTTTTCAAACAATAAAAGTTTGGTTTTCAATATTGTAGCACATGAATGGAATCAAGTCACAAAAACGCAGCTGCTACGGAAAAGCATGCATTCTATGCACAAGTTGACTTTTATGCAAGCCCCATGCACTTCACTACCCAGGAATTGGTATAAACACATGTGCGTTAACAGGATTCCATATGCATTGTTTAGCATCGTGTTGACAACAACCACTCAGAAAAACAACAAAATAACGCAATTATTCAACATTACAAAATGCCATGCCTGTCCGAAAATGAACGTCTGAGAACCATTGGTATGCTTAAAGCAGGATCAAGTCAACGTGATGTTGCAAGACAATTTAACGTCCACAGAAACACCATTTGGTGTTTATGGCAACGTTGGCATCAGGCGAATGCAGTCAGAGACCATCAACAGAGTGGCAGGCCACTCGTTACCAATCATCGACGAAATCATCGGCTCTGTTGTTCTACTGTTTTTGCGTCGTCATGAGAGAGAGAGAGAGAGAGAGAGAGAGAGAGAGAGAGAGAGAGAGAGAGAGAGAGAGTCATGTTCTAACTCTCAGGCACAATATAATAATGATGATTAAATGATTGAAGACTGAACAGAGTTTTATATATGTAAGCCCAAAACACTTGGAAGACATGTCGCATTTTCAGGTAAGGTTTTATCTCCTCTCATAATATGGGATAATGATAGCTTTTGACCACGACACAGGAGACTCCCAATTATCATATAGAGAATTGAAAACAAAATTCAGAAAAGATAATTGCCTGATAATTATAACATTTTGACAATTCTGTAATCTTCCAAAGCTTGAAGTTTCTTAATTGTAACATGTATTTCAACCTTACTTATTCGTTCATCTACTTTATCAGTAAAAGGCGACCAATCAATTTGGTCAGACGGGATATAAACATCGAAAGCTGAATCGTTGATGTGGTCATTTCGGCCTGTGAGTGAGTTAGGGAGTGAAGAAATTGTCTCAACACATTGTACGCCTGCTGGGAATCGAACCGGGTCTTTTTCCTGACAAGCTTTAACCAGAAGGCTGCCCCACCCCTATGGAACTCTGAACTAGGCAAACGGATGCATGTCATAAGTAAAAAAGATGTAATTAGGCTATTACAACAACCTAGGTATACATTGTACCCATCCAATCATTCATTTCAATCGTCTAAACGACATGGCAGTGGAGAACCAGAGTTATGATCCAGAATAGATCCTTAGAAAACTATGAAGGTCGTAAGAGGCTTCATAATGGATCGGGTGGTTAACTTTCGATCCACATTTCAGACACCCTTACACATTAGCATCAGCTGGTTGGGAATAGCCATTGGAAATTATGTAACTGATATGAGTACAGTGAAATGAGATTCCACTTACTGTCCGAAATTGCATATCTATATGCATCATCTGAGAATCGGCCCACTGACACAGGACAAATAATCCATCAGGAAAGAATGTTTCCGGTACACAATGATTGGGTAACCCTCATAAAGTCATAGGAGTGATGTGAGCCTGATGTGCTTGAAAACCTGTGTTTGGATGTATCCTGACAGAATCGTTGCACATCATTACAACATTTGCTACCGATGTTTGCACCAACTGCATGCACGTCCAACCCTTCAGTGTTTGACGTTGATTAGGAAGAAGCAAAGGCATGCTAGAAACCGGTGGAAACGAAGCGCTACTCACACACTCGAAATGCCATTACCTGTGATTCTGAACCTGTTTCAATCCCGTGGACGAACCCTAACCTCAGATTATCTCCCGTGGACGCTCCAACAAAACCCTTATCTATGCATTTCCCTCCCTGTTTGAATCCCTTGGACTCTCCGACAAAACCATTAGCTGTAATTCTGTCCTCTTTGGATCCTGTGGATGCTCCAACAAATTCTTACCTCTCCTTTTTTCAAGTTTGAATCCTGTGGACGCTCCAACAATACCTTGACCTCTATTTTGTTCATGTTTGAATTCCGTGGACACTTCAACAAAACTCCTGCCTATGATTCGGTCCTTCCTTGAAGCATGTGGACATGACAGTGATCGGATCCTGTGGACGCTCCAACACAACCCTTACCTCTGAAGCTAACCCTGTTCGGATCCTGTGGACGCTCCAACAAAACCCTTATCTCTGATGATGACCCTGTTTGGATCATGTGGACGCTCCAACAAAACCCTTACATCTGATGCTGACCCTGTTCGGATCCTGGGGACGCTCCAACAAAAACCTTACCTCGCATGCTGACCCTATTCGGATCCTGTGGACGCTCCATCAAAAACCTTACATCTGATGCTGACCCTGTTTGCATCTTGTGGACGCTCCAACAAAACCCTTACCTCTGATACTGACCCTGTTCGGATCCTGTGGATCCTCCAACCAAACCTTACCTCTGATCTTGACTCCGTTTGGATAAGACAGATTCTCAAAAAGAACCCTTGCCTCTGAATTAACCCTGTTGAGATCCGGTGGACGCGCCAACAAAACCCTTACCTCTGGTGCTGACCCTGTTTGGATCCAGTCGATGCTCCGACAAAACCCTTACCTCTGATATTGACTCCGTTTGGATTCAGTAGATGCTCCAACAAAACCCTTACCTCTGATCTTGACTCCGTTTGGAATAGTGGACGCTCCAACAAAAAACCTTACATCTGATGCTGACCCTGTTCGGATCCTGGGGACGCTCCAACAAAAACCTTACCTCGCATGCTGACCCTATTCGGATCCTGTGGACGCTCCATCAAAAACCTTACATCTGATGCTGACCCTGTTTGCATCTTGTGGACGCTCCAACAAAACCCTTACCTCTAAAGTTGACCCTGTCTGGATCAGGTAGATTCTCAAACAAAACCCTTGCCTCTGAATTAACCCTGTTGAGATCCGGTTGACGCTTCAACAAAACCCTTACCTCTGGTGTTGACCCTGTCTGGATCCAGTGGACACTTCAACCATGCACCGACCGAGCACTTCGCCGCTAGTCGCCAGCGTTGTACACAGGCGATGTGATGAATGCCCCCATCATACAGCTGCGGTTTCTTCTCTGCAACGGTAGACATTTTCATAACAAACAGAAAACTTGAGAAATCATGTCTCAGAAGCACAGGTTCCACATACAACACTTCCTATTCTGGTGCCCGGGACTGCTGAGAGGGAATAGTTGGTGTTTTATTTCTCGTAACCACCTGTAGGCGTGAAACCCATTTGAAACCAGTCCACACAATCTTGACAAACAAACAAACAAACAAACTACACGAGAACTCGGCCTTGAAGCAGAAGTTTAATTCGTCTGTTAATCCGAATATACATGAATTATAGCCTCAAGATTTAGATGGGTCAATTACTCTGGTTTGAAAACAACTGGTTGTAACATAACTGGTATCTGAGGGTGTAGTAATCACTCTCTCACAAAGCCCTATTCTCTTCCACTACGTTATATCTATGACACTGCTTTATTGAGGTCAAGCATTATTTGCTTGCTTGAGGCTGTATTCCTTTATAAATACATTGTCCTCAAAAATACTCGAACAAATAAAGTTACCATAAAACATATACCTCTCAGCAGGCACACACGTTGTTACAAAGTTGAACGAAGATTGATTCCTGGTCGCGACGTTGCTCAAAGTTAAAATAACGTTGCGACCCAAGAAAACATCTTGAACTCACAAAAACAAATTTTCGCCCTGAAGTTTCAGTGATCAGTTGAGAAGAACAGAGTACATATACACACATCTAAGATGATTATTCTATCTATCCCAATACACGATACCCCTCTCTCGTTATTGCTATGAAAGCATATCTATCGATAGCCGACCCACTCGCTATTTTGAGACCAACTCGGCACAAATTGTTTAGGTCAGAAAGCATCTCTCTGATTGGTCAATATATCCAAGATAAACTGTTTGTTTGCTTGTTGCGTAACCCTCCATAATCGCAGTCAATGACAGCATGTAGACCAGGCAATGCAATGATTGACATCCAGAGAATCAATCCATGCAATTGGAATACGATGCCATACATCAACCAATTCAGCGGTTTTGATTACATTTAGGGCCGTTCACGACAAGCTGGGGACACTCTGACTCTCCACGGAGTCCATCTTAAATTAGCAGCTCCAGGCCCTGGTTTTCAAATTTTGGCCAGGGAATGTAGGAACAGAGTTTGTTCTTCCGTCCGTCCGTCTGCTTCTTAAATTTTTTTATTTAAATTCAATTTTATACCCTGATGTTACTGTTCATGATCTTTAAGGAGTTCGAACATTGGTGTCTTAATTTTATTTTTACAGAGTTGTGGCCCGTGCTTTTCATTTTAGTGCATATTTTGTGAAATGGGGACACATTTTCCTATTCAGAAGTTACATGAATGGAAGTTTGCCTGCTTATCAAAGCGATACTTGTCAAGACTGAGTATGAACTGTGGTGCCGTCTTATTTGTTTACAGGCTTGTGGCCCTTGATCAATCCTTTTCATTTTAGTGCATCGAGTCGGCAACGGGGAAAGTTTTCTCAAACTTCTGAAGTTACATGAATGAAACTTGGCAAGTTTATGAAAGAGATACTTATCAAGACTGAGTTCGAAAAATCAGATTTTCTCAAGACATAAAGCCACACTATCACTTCATAAGGATCTATAGGACTCTGTTTTGGAGTTAACATTAACTTTCATGTTATTCTCTTCTCTATGATCAAACAAAATTTTAATGTGCCCCATGGCCGGGATTAGTGATAAGGCTGTTTTCTTGTTGGTTCTTTCTTCATTGTCCCTAATGTGTGTCGTTCAGTAAATGTCATAATATAGAGTTTCCTTCTTGGCTAATTGAGTTTTATCTTTAAAAAAGGGAAAAAACTATACAGTCTCAAAATGTATTTTTTATAAGTTTTATATCACATTTGTTAAGTTTTATGGTCGAAGAAACCAAGTAATCTGACATTAACATCATGTTAGCTGAGTTGTTGCACAATTATTGTCCCTACTGGTTTACATGTCACCCATCAATCATGCTGAATGTGTTTTTTTGTACAGCAAATTAAGTAAATTATTTAGGCTTTATCATATAAGAATGCTTTAAAACCATCGTCAAACAAAATTGAGATCTGTAATCCAGCCCTAGTCAGTAACATGATTTCATGCTACATTAGATGTCAACTTATATTTTTTATCTCCATCCAAAATAAATAACGCCAGCGCTTGCCTCCATCAAGCGACGTAATGGATCCCATTTGGCAAGAGTGAGTGAGTGAGTTGGTTTTAACGCCGCTTTTAACATTATTCCAGTAATATCACGGCGTGTCAGCTTGATGTTGCTGACAAACCTAGAAACGTACTCGGGGCGAACCGGGATTCGAACCCACAATCATAGGTTTCTGGCGTGCCCAAGGGACGCAACTCTGCACGGCGAATCGCGGCGCCTTGGATGACTGGGCTACCCGTGGCCCCCATTGGGCAAGAAAGGCATACAGTGGTGAAAACCATATGAACGGACCACTGAAAACCAGTGATGCCAGCGAAAAGAGACAAGCATGTTCTGTCCTGCTGATAGCACCTGCGACTCACACAAGTTGCATAAAAAGTGTATGGTTTTACAACAGTATTCCTACCATGCACACAAACCAGACAGTCAGAAATCCAATCACACGGAACTAAAACCGTTATGTTAATTTTGAATTACACCTGCTGTGTACAAGTGCAGAGATGCTTCTGCTTGTGATGACAAAATGTTGAAGAAATATGTTCGTATTGCAAACCGACTGACCAAACGACCGACTCACTCTTTGGTTCTGTGTATTGGGTCCAATCGGGAAAGGATAGTGGAAACTCGTCAAACTATTTACTATTTATTTAATGTGATTTTATTCAATAGATTTAAAATGTTTTTACATACACGTAGATCCAGATACTGAATAGTTTCTCAGTGGTTTCTTTGATTCCCAAGCTGGTAAATAGATGAGTTGAAGATATTTATTTATCTAGACATGTTTAAAAGAAATGAGGTCATTATACATCTGCAACTGATGTTGAACGTTTTTCACAATATGTCCTCTCTCAGATTTAACTAAGGTAGTCCAAAACTTCCAATACATGTTCAAAGAGAAACAGATCAAAGAGTGAGTGAGTATGGTTTTATGTCGCTTTTAGCAATATTCCAACAATATCAAGGCGGGTGACACCAAAATTGGGCTTCACACGTTGTACCTATCTGGGAATCGAACCCGGGTCTTCGGCTAGCCGATCGAATGCTTAACCCACTAGGCTAGGAGAGGAACAAAATCAATAGCCACGGGAATACCTACTACTTATCTCAATGTTTCATGCCCTAATTTAACAAGACACTGTGGGTCCTGAAATCTAAAATCCAAACACTGGATGTAAATTCAAGTTAGTCAGTTCAGAGCAACGGAATGATTGAAACTGGAACAGCACACTGGGAAGGGGTATGTCAGTTAAATCTGCGCAGGAACGCAATCTGGAGCTTCTGGAAACAAACTAACAACACTAGAGATCGGCCTATAAACAGAAGAGCAGGAGGAGCCATCATCAGACATTATCTCTTCATTTTTTCTGTTAACCCATCTTCCCGAGTTAACTGACTATAAAAGTCCAGTTTCCCGAGGCAAGGGAGATTACTGACTCTTGCCGAACTAGGCTGGAATTCCCGGGCTCGACCGTAGCGCCACCAGTGGTTATTATGAGTTATGTCCCTTCTAAGCCTCTCCTATGGACCAATCAGATTCCACCTCTCGTATCACTTGCAAAAACATGAAAATACTTGGAAAATATGTGATGACAACGAGTTGGCGTTGCACATACTTTGCAAATCCTGCAATCGACAGAAATCTGCAGTACATTTTACAAACCGGATTTCGATTTCGGTGCGCGATTTTGATTGGACTATGCATAGACTCGTTAGCCCAGCCAAAATGTAACTCCATAATACCAGCCTAGTTCGGCAAGGGTGGAAACTGGACTTTTATAGTCAGTTAACTCACTTGCCCTGGGAAGATGCTGTTAACCCGAATCGAATAAAGTTTTCATTATAGAGATAAGTTAGTGTCTTGCATTATGTGACAAAGCGCGGCCCAAAAACTGTTGTTGTTAGTATAGTTTCATATTGATTTCATTAAAAGACCATAAATAAAACATAATCTTGAAGGAATTAAAGCTGACTTGGAGAGAAAGTAAACTGCAGAAATACATCATCTTACTGTTGACACACTATTGAATAATAGAACATTTAATAAAGAACTTGCCTAAGTGACTAAGAATTGATCTCCGAATAAAAGATGACGAGTACCTTTTAGCACAGAATGCAGATGAAACAGCACTCTGACAATAGGTCCCTCTCAGCACTCTGACAATATGGCCCACAGAGCACCCTGACAACATGGCCCACAAAGAACACTGATAAAATGGCCCACACAGCTCCCTGACAATATGGCCCACACAGCACACTGATAATATCCCCTCTCAGAGCACACTTACAGCAGTCCCTCTTAGCACCCTGACAACGCTCCCTCTCAGCAGCCTGACAACAGTCCTAGACAGCACACGAATAACAGCCCCTCTCAGAGCACACTAACAGCAGTCCCTCTCAGCAACCAGGCAACACTCTCTCTCAGCAACCTGGCAACAGCCCCAGACAGCACACGAATAACAGCCCCTCCCAGAGCACCCTGACAATAGGTCCCTCTCAGAACACACTGACAGCAGTCCCTCTCAGCAACCTGACAACAGCCCCACACAGCTGCCTTACAACAGCTTCACACAGAGCACTAATAACAGCCCCTCAGAGCACACTAACAACACTCTCTCTGAACACCATGACAACGCTCCCTCTCACTGGCCTTACGTCAGCCCCACACAGCACACTAATAACAGCCCCTCTCAGAGCTCACTGACGACAGCCACTCACAGCACCCTGGCAACAGCCTCTCTCGACACGCCAGCAGCAGCCCATGCCAGCACCCTGAAAACAGTGACGGCAGCCTGACAACAGCCCGTGACAGCATCCCGACAATTGATTCTCACAGCGCCCTGACAACAGACTCTCACAGCATCCTTAC